CTGGTTCAGGCCTCGCGGGTCCAAGATGGGCCTGAGCCCCCCTTTGGCCTTCGGGATAAGAAAATAGCAGGAGTAGTACCCCTTGCCTTCAAACTCCCCCAGTACTGCTTCCACCGCTCCTAGGCCCAAGAGCTGCCCCCACCTCCTGCTCGAGCAGAGCCTCATGCGAGGAGTCCCCCAGGAGGGATGGATGGGGGGTGGTTGGGCAGGGAGGAAGTAAACTGGAGGGTGTAGCCCCAGGAGATGGTGTTGAGGACCCATCGGTCCGAGGTGAGCCACGACCACTCCTGGAGGAAAGCACACAACCGCTTGGAGAAGGTAAGCTTTATTGATGGTGGATCTCTGATGAGAACTGGAAGGGCGCCGGGCGTCCCATCAAAACCGCCTTTTCCCTGCTTGCTTGCTTGCCCTTGGAGGGCTCAGGCTGGGGGGCAGGCCGAGACTGCCTCTGTGGGCGCCTCTTATAGTCCCGCGACTTCTTATAAGCAGTCTTGTATTTTGGGTGGGTGGGTGGCCTGAGGGGGAGTCTGCTGTGGTGGTGCTTCTGAGGCTCCAGCCACCGGGGGTTGCGTTGGGGGCCACGGTACCCACTGGTACCATTGGGCTGGCCACGGTGCCACTGCACCTGCTGTGGCACCAGTGGAACCACCTGTTTGGCCTGGCCCATTGATGGACGACTACGAAGGGAGGCCGGACTGACATACGACCTGCCACTGTTCCTGGACCGGGAGGAGCGGCAGCGCCGGGAGCAATGCCAACCACAGGACCGTGATCCTGACGTGGAGGACCAGTACCGTCGGTAACAGCTGCTCCGCGATTGCTCTGGCGGGCGGACCCGCAACGGTGAGACGCTGGTGATCAACGCCCGGGGCTGCAGTGCCGTGGCGGGGTCCTGGAGCGGGAAGATGAACGGGAATGACATAGACATTCGTGCCATGACCAGCTGCGATAGCCCCTCCGAGACGAGGACCTTTGGCGTCATCTGCCCCGGTCCCGTCGGTGTTTGCTCCTCGAGGTGGAGTGGTGCTGAGAGTCTCGGTCAGACGGAACCCAACTAGACAGCCTGGTGGGCGTTGAGGGCGATCCATGTGGACTTTGCCCTGAATGGTCACTGGGTGGCAAACAGTGTTGGGAACGTTCCCTCGACCGAGACTGGTACTGAGCCGGGGGTGACTGTGGAGATCCCAGCAGCGGCTTGCCTCTGGAGTGCGGGGCCGACATTGGCGGTGCTCCTGGTACCGGCATGGACATAACATCCGGAGCTGCCTGCAGGGCCTCCGGTGTGGAGGGCATCCAGACATCCAGGGAGGCCTGCTCCGAATGGGCAGGGCTATTCCGCTCGACTTGAGTCGGAGGCCTAGAGGCCGGTGGGGATCGAGGACTGCCCAACATGGGTCTAGCCTCTGTTCCGGGTTTACTCTGGTGCTGCAGCGAAGATGGCCTCTTCCTAGCCTTCTTGGCATGCCTCGTGGACGGGGAGCGGTGCCAACTAGTCGATGGTGCCGAAGGGTTGCCGTGCACCGACACCGCGGTGCCAACTCAGAGCAGCGCGCCGGAGCCGGGGTCAGTGCCAACTCCATCAGAATAGCCCGGAGCCTAATGTCCCTTTCTCTCTTGGTCTGAGGCTGAAATATTGCAAATCTTTCAGCGATCGCTGAGATGGGTTCCCCCAAAAAAGCATAAACAGTCCATGTGCGGATCACTCATTGGCGTAGATCCCTACAAGTGTCGCACGACTTAAAACCTAGGGCACAGGGCATGACCCGGCCTGGGCACTCTAGCTAAACTAAATTAACTAAACAACTAACTAACTACAGGTAGCATACACTGAACGAACAAGCAGTTTTGGGGACAAGCTACAGCAAAGCTGGAGCAGAGCAGTTCCAAAGCACCTTCACTGGTGGCAAGAAGGAACTGAGGGTGGGGGGAGCGCGCAGCTCCCCTTATACTGCACCATGGAGGTGCCACTCCAGGGGTCGCTAGGGTGCTCCCCTACGGGTACTGCTAGGGGAAAAACTTCTGGCACCGGTGCACGTGGCGAGCACGCACACCTATTGTGGAATACACATGAGCAATCACTCGAAGAAGCCCGACTTTTTTTTTTAAATGACAACTGCTGTAACTATGGAATTTGGAGCCCTAAAAAGGATGGGTGGTTTAGGGGTTTTCCCCCCAAAACCAGGAACTTAAGTGTTTTTCAATGGAATTCACTCTGTAAGGCAAGAAATTCCCTCATAAAGGAGGACATTTAAAGGATCAGACATGGGTAACTAATGAGTTCAAGAAAACCATCATAATTTCCATGTAGCATCAATTCTTCCAGCTTGTAGCAATAAAGAAATAACTATTTAATACAGTAAAATAATGTTATAATGTGAACAGTTTGTTCATCACCTTTATTACAACAAAAAGAAATAATAGATAAGAAAGAAAATGTTAGATACTAGAAACAAACTTTCTCCTGATAACAGTAAAGGCTTGTCTGCTTGACTCTATTTAAATTTCCATTGTAAAATCTCAGGGCATCATCAAAGCATCTGACCCTAGAAGAAGCCATTTAAAATGAAAACAATAATGGCATATAGGAATGCTGTAGTAACAATCACTAAGGGCCTGTTGGCATTTATACTACACACCTCTCTTTTTGGAGACAGGTGTCTCGGCTTTCCCATAACACTTCAGATTAAGATCTGGGATGCACATAGGATGCATATTTCTTTCTTGTAACAGCAGGTTGCAGACCTCTTAGCTCTCTGAGACTTGCTCCTAACTCATGCCGAACCCCACTGATTTAGGTGTTTTTCTTCATCTGCAAAGAGTTCAGGAGGACTTGGGCCAAGGAGCATAATTTGATTTTGCAGCAGGCAAATGCTTCCATGCTACACTGAAAAGGAAATCCCTATTCCTCAGTGTAGGTTCAGATGCAATTGTCTGTTTTTGAAAATGGTACACTTCTCTTGCATAATTACATGTACATTTCCAGTATATTTGGTGGTAACATAACCTAGTATGCCTGAAAGCATGCACAGTTATAAATATATACAGAAGATTAACTATCAGACTGAGATTGCTTTTAAAGCATAGGTACTTTAACATTAAAATAACTGAGGTAACATTACACAAGACAACCCTATTATACTCCTAGAAATCAACAGTTTGATCAGTCATTACATATTATTAAAATTTCTATTTTAAAACTATAATTTTTACATCTTACTGAGCGAACTGTCACAGACATGTCATAGGTAAAGAAATGCAGTTACAGAAGAATGAAAGTTAAATAAAATGTACTGAACATTGTTAATACTGTATTTAGATAAATGATCTCTCCTGAGATACTAAATATAAGCAAAGCTAGAGATGGCAAAGATACAGAATGAACAAGCTTTTCATTTTGAACATAAATAGTTATTTTGCTAATGTAATTTAGTGTACTATAAACCAATAGGATGAATTTCTGGAACAGCTTGAAGGGATGGAAAAAGCTGGTTAATATCTATACAACTTCATGCCACCAAATATTGCTAAACAATGTGGGACAGTACAGTGCAAAATCTACAGTCTTAGCTTTTTAAAATTCCTCCTGTCCTGCAGTGTGAACTCCATCGAATAATCAGTAGTTCCTGCAAAAAGAGATATATACTCTCTTACTGCAGGACAGGAAAAATGTTAAAGAGACAGGCCTATACCCGGATACTGAGGGGACGACATTATACGCTTAGGTCCCAGTCCTGCAATAATTTCAGTGACCACAAAGTCACAATTTAAAGAATAGGTCACAACAGGACTGGGAAAAGGGTATGAAACGAACATGCATTACAACTGAATCTAAAGACATTTCAAGCTACAGATTTCTACTTTTTTTCCAAAACGAATGTCATTGTTGATTCTAAATAACTGTACTTTAATAACAAAATTTCAATTCTAAACTTGTAGGAAGCCCTCAATAAATTTACAGGAAAAAACAGCCTGCTAACATTTTAAGGCACCACAAGAGCAAACAATTTTCTTTATGAATATCCGTTAAAAATGCAGACAAAATACAAGCCAAATATTGGCCAAAGTTCTGCCACATCTACATTTTTGAATGGTAAGCACTTCTGATCACAAGTCACTGGTAACCTCAACAATCAATGATGATTTTACAAAAAAAAAATCTAACATGCTATTTTGGTCCTCATCTCTCGCCTCAAGTTCAGAATGTAACCATTCTTTGCTACCTAAGTATCCAATGCTACTCCCACTGAAATGGGAATCTTTACACTGAATTTAATGGGAGAGAGACTAGATTCTAAAGTTAGCCACTTAAAGTACTTAAGATACTGAAAACGGATTCTTCAGCGAAATCAAGATACAAAGCTAGAAAAGTCAATTACCAACAAAAAACAAACAAACCTCTACCGATTAGCAAAATGATCAAAACCACCAATGTAAATGTTTGCTGCTTTGACCGTCAGGTCTGGACTCTCACCTTAAAAAAGACAACCCACACATTATTGTGTTTGTATAAAAGATATTTACTTCAATTATCACACCTAGGGTGCTAGTGAATAATAATAATAATACATCATGTGAGTTTCATACAGTGATATTGCTTCTCCATATCATATAGGGACCGTTGTACAGTGCTGAGAACAAACATTATATGGCTAACCAAACAAAGACAGAAGAAACAATGCCATTCCGCTGACGGAGGGAGCACTTCCCTGCTACTGCCAGCCATATAAACCTTTACTTTTATGTTTAAACAAATACCAAGAAATAAAATGTTACAAAAGATGAGTCACAGCAACACAACGTGGGCTTCTCAAAGCTACTTGTACAAAAAAAAAAAATGACACTTTTTTTTGGTCAATTGGTTCTTTGTGAGGATTTTTTTTAAAATCTGTGATTGTGAACATAACAAACAAGCTCTAAAATGTCTAAGACTTAGTGCGTTACAGAAAAAATATAAAATACTGCTAAAAATGTAAGACACCACAATACACGGGGGTAAAACTGAGCTTATTATTTAAAAACAAAAAAGTTCTCAGGAAAAAGTACACCACTTTATCTGTCTGAGTTCATCTTGTGCTGTGTTAGTAGTCAGGGCATTCATTTCAAAAGTCTGCCCATTATCATGGCAAGTAGTTATTGCACAAATGCAAAGAGTTAATTTCTTAATAAAAATGAAAAGGGACATGAGGGAAACAATTATAAAAAACAAAAGCACCCCCACTCCCAAACAAGTTAGTCTTAATTTACTTTGGATTTAACGTCCAAATTCACACACTTGACATTCTTGGAGCATTTACAGAGAGTGGGACAGACAGTGCCTGTTTTCTTAAAAGGAACAGCAGAAAACGGCTTTCAACACAGAAATGCATAGACTATTCTGATAGAAATGAAAACCTTTTGCAGAAATTACCTAATAGTTTAATGTAGGGCCTTTCCCCCCTCTAACTACACCAGAAGGAGAAAGTCACGGCATTGGGAAAAATGTTATTTCTGAAAAATTAATCTGATGTTCTTAGTGGGATGTCCTCAAAAAAAAGGCAAAGTGCAAGTTTGCTTCCAATCCACAGAGGAGGTGATGCGCCATGCAACAATCGCAGCTCCTTACATCTTTGCCTTCTGTAAGGCTCTTTTTTGCTGAGCCGGTGCTGGTTCAGTGCTTACTGATGGCCCTTGACATTGTCCCCCAAGCAGACACATTCCTCCCTCATACAAACAGGGCTATTACTAAAGCAACATTTCCATTGTTGTTTAAGCAGCTCTCTCTCAAACTGTTACCTACCCACAGAATGCTTGTCTTAATGTGTTTCTACATTGCAAGGAAACCAAACAACTCCTCCAGCACAGATATAAATTTACAACTAGTATTTTCATATTTCATACCAGGAAAAGTTGTTGCTACACAAGATTGTTTTGACCAACTTTATATGTAAGAAAAAATAGTTATGAATTCAGAAATTAAAACATATGCCAACAAAGATGAACATCATAGGAAACCAGTCTCTCTTGTTTTAAAGTAATACTCTTGAGCAGATTGCAATGTACCTTGACAAAGGGATATTGCATCTTCATGAAATCTTAACAGAGGCTCTAGGAGGCTTAGGGTATTTTTTGTCTCTCTTTATATCGGAGTCTCTTCCCTCACTACTGAGTCTTTTTAATCTCAATACTAAATGGTTTTTAACATTTAAATACAAATATTTAGTAGACATTTACACAGAGTCCTTTTTAAGTGGATTGCTCCAGAAAACACAACATACTGATATGGGTATTAATCAGTCAAGTACATGCCAACCCATCCAATTCCCAGAGCAGGCCAATTCTTCTAAATAGAACAGAATAGAATGAGTTTGGTATGCTGGACCATCTATGTCCGTTTAAGCAATAAGAAGTGATATGTATACTTCTGTTGTGTTTATGTAAAAATCTCTGAAAGGCATTTTAAAGTAATCTCACTATAAATAGGAAAGACCAGAATTTTGTTTTGTTCTAATGATAAATTTTTTTGTATAATTAGACGTATGTTGCTGTGTAAAGAGTGAGTTTTAGAAATAAACAAGTGCTAGTATGGACTGAGGAGGTAGGAGTGTGATGTAGAGGAAAAAAACCCTATTCTTCACAAGTCCCAGTTAGACTGGAATGACCTTACGGTGTATCACCAGTTGAAGATGACATGGCTCAGGAAGTTGAAATGAACACGTAAGTGCTTATTTTAAAGTTATGTAAGAACATGGTGAAAGTTAGCCATAACTGGAGATCACATGGGTGCTTGACCAATCAAGTTTTTTAAATGCTCACTGAGAGACCCATTAGTATGTTTTTTCAGAGATTGTTGCACAATGGTGGACTATTTATTCCAAAATGTCATCATGCAAATATAACCAGTGTGAATATACTCTTCAGTCACCTGAATCCTCCTAGATTAGAGCTTACATTTGCCTACATTGGGTGTACAGTGTGTTAGCTCCTAAATATAAAACTAGAACTTCTATTGCACAAAGTTTTAAATGCACAGTAGTATTAAGTGCTCTTTATCAAAGGGATTAGTAACCCTGGGCTATTGAAATACACCTTGATTGGTCTTTTTTTCTGAAATAAAAAGTAGGCTCTTGTGTATGCTGAAATCTAGATCACTGTGCTTTAGATTATTCTCAATGAAGAGATGAGAAGATAAGGCACCTTATCTTTCTGATTACAGAAAGTTTGATAAATAGTAATTTTATGAAAGAAGTATAGGCTAAACACTTCTAGGAAATTGTGTAATAATATTGCTTAAACTAAAAACATTTCAAAATAATCAAAAAACCTCCCCTCCCGCCCCCTGCCACCCGCAAAGAACAAACAAACAGGAAATCTGTGAACTTCTTCATTCCTGAGGAGGATGAAAAAGGAATGGAAGCCTCTTATGGAGGGGAAAGTGGAGAGAGACAAAACCCACCCAACAGCACAATATAGGTGTGTTGCTTATTCTTCACCTGCCCTCCTTTAAGCTAGTTTATCTAGAACACTTACTGTATATACTATACTAGCATTCAGAGGTAACTAGGTGCTTTGGAAACACTTTTTTTTAAAGCTAATTAATTTACACACAAATAATACATTAAAATAGTAGTAAGGGTCTAATGGAAACTAACAAAAGCCAGAGAAATGCAGAGTGAACCTTGACTGAGTACCAATCTTATAACACACCTAGATATATTTTTTTTAGTTCCACATATGTAGGATTGGATTTATAAAGCCAGTTAAATGCTTAGTCCTCCAAAGTAAACAAAGTCCTCTGAGAGGAACTCACAATATGCAATTTCAGTTATATACACCTCAGAAGTAGAATTTTCAGCATGCAGGGGCACCAGAGATGAATTGCTGGTTTTGATTTGTCACTTGGTTTAATTTACTGAAAAATTCTTCCTTTTTTAAAACCTACCAATATACAGAGTTTGCAAAATAAAAATATTTTTTTTAAAGGATTGGAATGCTGCTCCCTTTAACTGACCATCCTGTATGTAGACTTAGCTGCTCATATCGTACTTGTAAGAGTGCTTAGTGCTTGAGGTTCCTGATAGCCATATCAGAGCAAAACCTATTTATACAGTTACAGGGTGAGTTTAGGCTGTGATTTCATCCTTAGTTCTAAATTATCTAGCTTTTGTACATTTCAGTCAGACCCTTGAAATTATTTTTATGTATTCTAAATGTGAATTTTTCTCTTCATGTTAATTAAACCTGCATGTTCAAACAATCTGATCCCTCAGAAGCCTGCAGTCACTTTCTTGCAACGTGGATTTTGCCTAGCAAGTGGGAAAATGGCACTCTATGCATTAATATACATATTAGCATGTAAATAACATTTTTAAACCTGCCATCCACCCATGCCCCAACGCATATAATTTACCTGATAGACTGTAGCAATTCCTTACTGAGCCACTAAGGCCTATATTGTAAATATGCTACATATTTAGGAACTTTTCCAAACAGGAATAGTGTAAGTATACGTGTTTAAAAACTTTAAAAAATGCATATTATTGACCCGCACAGCTAGAAGGTGATAACACAATTAACATAGTATTATTGTTACCAATAGAAAGATTGTGCTGTTACAAACATTACCACAAAATTACACAGTAACTATGCAAAGAACTCCTGTCACCACTACTTCAGGAAATTCCTGGGATTCTTCTCCACTTTCCATGGATCTTTGGGTGAGTACTTTACTTGGTAGTACGAATATCTCCAAAAATAAAATGAACAGCCATAGATATGCCTCTAATGGATGGATTGGGGGAAGTGGGGCGGCAGTTAGTATTTATGGTAGTTTCCTAATATGACTGTTTGTCATTTAACTTTTATCTGGTCAGGGCTCATCTGATTGTTTCAGTTTAATAGAGAAACTGAAGTGATACAGCAAAGTCACCAGATTTAGTAATAGAAAGAATCTAGAAAGAGCTCTAGATTGTGCTCTTGTGCATGATTTCCACTGAAGTCAATGGGAGTTGCGTGCTTGTTTGATGGCAAAACTTGTCCTTTGGCATACATCTGTCAAAAAATAAGAGATTAAATAATCCCAGTATAATTTTTAAGTGGACATTCTTCCTTCTACACATTTTTGTGCCTGAACAAGCTCATGAATGGTGATGAATTGACAACGCTGGTCACTCAAGTCCATTTTTTATCCACACAACAGGTACAGCAGTGCATGCTTCCCCCCTCTCCGTCAGCATGCCTGGGCCTGACATAGAAGAGGCGAGAAGGGTGTTTAGTCTCCACGGCCAATCAATTCCTGGCCTTTACAAAGGATGCTAATAAGGGTAACAATTAGTAAAAAGTTGTGTGGTTAATTTTTGTGACATGAACACTTCTCCACGAGGAACTGACCTGAGACCAAATAATTCATTTCACATATGCCAAAGAACAGCTCTATCAGGGTGAAATTCATCCCTGTCTGAGGGCCATCACAAAACCAAAGCACCACTTAAGATATATTTTCAGGGCTTAACTGGGTTTTTAAGGACTGCAGGGGCCTATAGCTGACTCTCCCCAAAGGAGGGTCTTTTAATCATTGTACATTAATCGGATATGGCATATTGCATTACACACAAAATTTAGCAGCTCAGATACTGGGGTGATAAAAGCCATAATAGTAAGTATCTGGATACACATGGTAACAATGGACTTATTTTTCTTAAAGTCTATTGTTACATATCTACTTTATTAAAGCCATAAAAATGAATAGGGGAGGAAAATAAAATGATTTTTGATTAATAATACATACCAAACTCTCATATAGCGCTTTTCATCCATAGATCTCAAAGCACTTTACAAAAGAGGTCAGTATCACTATCCCCTTTTTACTGATGGGGAAACTGAGGCACAGAGAGGCAGTGACTTGGCCAAGGTCACCCCAATGACAGAGCCAAGAATGGAACCCAGCTCTCCCACGCTAATGTTTATTTTCATTATTTAAAGTAATTTGGAGTTATATTTTAAGTTGTTTGGTACTTTTTGAAAATCTTGTATTATACAGAATTTTTACAGGCTCTTTCATTTAAAACTGTTTGATTGTATGTATGACATGGAGGAAGACATGTTAGTGCTTGGCTAGAGGGACCACAGAAAGTGCCATGGAGACTGGAAGGCCTAGCATAATAGTAAATTAAACTGAATACTGTGTTTTACACTTGTTATGTCTGTATAAGTTAAACTGTGGAAGATCAGATATAAGCAGCCTGTCTTGTTAGGGGCTGAACAAATACTCACTGAAGTCAAAGGAAAGACTTTCCATTGATTTCAATGGACATAAGATCAGGCCTTAGACCAAGTGACACCTTTTCTTCCTCTCTCCATATCTTTCTTATGATGTCCATGAAATCCTCACAATTAGAACCTATGGAACTCAAGTATAGGGAGTGATTTTAAAACCCAGTATACATGGGCTGTAATATAAGCAAGAGAGATGATTTAAAGAACTCACTTGCTTAAAAGGAAAGCGAAGAAACAAATGGACCCTCCATCTGCATGTCAAAAATCTTTATGAATATATTTATTTATTGTATTTACAATGAATCACTTTGCTACATAACACTGTTGATTTCTTAGCAACCCTGCTAAAGGCATTAGTCCATATTACTAATGACATTTCAGTTTAAATAAGGAAGCTGTTTTGGATTTAAGTGCAAAAATGCATCTGAAACCAATTACTTTTTTTGGTATTTTTATAATTTAAATATGGTCAAAATGTTTTTCCATTTCTAAACTACCAAGTTCCTGCCAAGAGCAATTTTTTTCATTTTACAGCAGAGTTCTAAAACCCTTGAAATTAGGGATTTTAAGATGGAAACTCTGACAGACCCTGGATTGCAGCATTGCTAGTGGGGACTGCAACCTTTTTTATCATATTTATCACATTATTCTGTCAGATTTTCCCCTAACTCTAATTTATTTAAATTAATCAGCATTATAATTTCACTTTGAGCTAACACTGAGATGACACACTTTCCCTCTAGATCACTGTTTTCACTTTTAAAAGATTGCAAAATGGTAATATTTTAAAATGACTAGAGAATATTGCATAGAATTCTGTAGTGTTCATTAACCCCTTCTCTGTAGCTTCCCCACATGAAAGTTATGTTAAAAATGAATGCAAAAACCTCTTACCTAATGAGAAAGGCATACGATTTTTACTTTTAGAGATATCTTATTCTAATAAAGCTGTTTATTATTGAACGGCTCGTGGACAGATGATATGGACAGAGCACACCAATGCAAGGCTCCTTTAAGGAGTGTCTCTACCCACAAAGAGTATTTATAAATTTTGCAGGAGTGCAAGCTAAACTCAAATGATCAAGTTCCATGGCATTCAATAGCTACTTTAACAAAACCCTTTTTCTTTTGTTATCAGTAAGAAAATCTTGTGATTCCACGGATAAAGAAAATCATATTTATAAAAATGGAACAATTATAATCAACAGGCATGCTTCATCCGCTCTCCATTAACACAATAATAAAAGAGACCATCACACTTAGTTAAATCTCAATATTGTCCTCTCCTTTTTGCACTACCCATCCAGAGATAAAAATGACAGAATTTTACCATCAGTATAAAAATATTTGTTAAAACAGCCTGAGGCCTATCCCTCCATTGCTTTAGACAAAGTCTGAACTATAAACAGAAACAAGGGTTTTTAAAAAATGCTTTTAAAGAACATAAAATGGGAAACAGTCTGCAGAAAACCTGTAATGCTAGAGACCTATATGCGCTTTTATCTATCTGGAAAAGTACTGAACAGCATGCCTTCCGCAAGTGCTCCATTTTCAGTCTTCTTAACTCTATAATACAACTGTGCATAGAGAACAGCCCCACATGTTGAACATGTGGCACCTTATACAGCCTTTCACCTTTGTTACTCTCAACTAATCAATGACTGGAAAGCATTGAAGAGTCCAACTCTTTGTACATTACTTCTCCAGTAGCTCTTTATCAAGTAATGAAGACTAGGAGTGTAATACTAATTTTTAACAACATTAATTTTAAACAACAGACTTCATTACCATGAAGAAATATAGCTAAAAATCATTCACCACAGATGCAATTTAACCCTTTTTCAACCCGGGAGGTCTTGCCAATTTGGAAAACTAGTAAGGAAAAAATCTCCAAACAGGAGAGTAAGGTAAGATATCTGTCAAAGAATTGTAACGTGATTCCTAACTGGAAGTCTGGAGTTATCCCAATGGCATTCTAATAGTTTTACGTACTTTCTACCTATGATATTATGCATGAAATGACAAAAGGAACTAACGCATTAATAAAGTGCCAAAATATAGGGAATACCAAGAGCATTTTATCTGACTAATTTTATAATAAATACTGATGACAACCCTTGGCAGAATGGGGTGATTTATGAATTATGAATGCTGTCTTCATTCAACAAAATTCTATGCATTGTAAGTGGTATAATGGAGTTTACAATTAACTGTTAGTGTTATAAAGGAAACACATCCTCTACAGGAGAGCTACAAATATGCTTTTTGAAAATTGACATAGCATTAACAAAAATAAGCAGACACTTTTGAGTGTTTGGCTCCTCTAATGTAATTAGCAGAAACCTGAAAACTACTAACGAAAGAACAAAATGGATACTTTTGAAGGCACTTAAGTATTGCTTATCAAGAAGAGAGATTAACCCTTACTGCTGCATTTGGGTTCATCCTGTTAATAAAATTTTGCTTTCAGTGACAGCTCTCAGTAAGCATTATTGAATGCAATAAAGAGAGACACTTATTCAACAACAGGTCTGGGGACCTTAATTAAGCAAAATAATAAAGGGGGGGGGGGAGGGAAACAACAACCTACAAGCAAGCAAAATTTAACCACTTGACTGCATCAAGCACCCAGATCTCAACCTGATAGAAATAGAGGGTGGCAACGCATGGCAAATATATTGTTCTAAAGTAAACAAAGAAAACGGATTTAGAATGTAAGACAGTATCTGGATTTGTCTAATTAAAAGTTCTGTCTCTTGGCTGAACTAAATAGGTTTATATTTTGTTGTTACTCATGATCAGGTACATATATTTGAATGGGACACACATTCATGAATGGAGATGTGTTTTATAAACCAAATCAAAACATTTGCTTTTAAGGAGACACTGCGGTGAAGAGAAGATTTCTAATGGTAATGTTTTGATTTACCATGTCGTTTGCTGGAAGTTTTCTCAGCCAAACGTTATGTCCCTATAAGTAGAAGTCACAGTGATTCTAGATGGTGTGATCACATGTTCCAAATTTTCTCTTCAGCTCACCACAGAAAGGGCTAGTTGCTGTCTCTGTTTATCAAATTTGAGTCGTGCACCACAAGCTAAGTCTCTGGTTACCCAAGCAGGTAATTTGAAACGACTGTAACAGTAAAAACAGGTAAATAAATCTCTGCCTTTCAGCCTCCTAGAGCCTTCTTTTCGTATTCATGAAAAGGCTAATAGTGTAGTGACGCTTAATTTGTGAAAACCTGAACTAAGTGCTGCTGTTGCACATTGAGACTGTAAATGAAATACATCATTTCTAAAACATCATGCAAGAAATGTGGGTTCACATCGTACAGTCAAAGTCCTACTAGTTAATTAATACAAGCACACTGAGGTGTAATATTGGGAGCATACCTTTAAAATTGGAACTCCTCTCCCCACCCCCCCAAAATCAAAAAAGTAATATTAATTAAACTTAAGAAGTAATGAATGCACCATTAAAGTGTCATCAAAAGATGCTGACCTAAGACAAAGGTTTCAATGATACACAATACGGTCAAAAAGTCTTCAATCAATAATATACAGTATGACAACTACATCTTGTAAATTATACCCAATACTGCCGGCAGTCTATCCCTCTAAAGAATATTTGCCCCCTTTCATCCCTTCCTAACAATCAGATAATAAAATACAGCACCTATAAATAAGCAAAAAAAAATATATATATATATACCGAAATCATCTATTGTTAGTTTTAAAGATATGGCAATAAAGGAGTCTAAATTAGCAAACTTGTAGAAGCCATAACTGATAAAACAGCTTATTGAAAAAAGGTGGCAGTAATGCACTCTATGTGTGCACAAGTACGTAAGAAAATACACAGACGTATAAAATTGCACGCACACACTCACGCACACACATCCTTCCACACACCTCTATGCTCACGCATATACATATAGACAACAGGAGGAGTTAGAGACAAGTCAGAATTTGATTTGTACTTTGATCAGTTTTATGCTGTGCATAAAATAATCTGAAGAGGCTAAATTTCCAATAGTCTGGACTGGGATTCAAGAGCATGAATATTTTGGTTTGGAGTTTGGGCTATTTACATCTTGGTCACAGCCCATCTGATACCTGCAATGTATTCTTTTTCTACACAAAAATAAACTTCCCACAAACTAAAACATTTAAATCAGTGCTTATGGTGGGAAGAGAGTCAGTAATCTCTTCATCTGAGGCAGGCCCCAATTCCTTCTTAGTGGTGTGTGTTATCAGTTACACATGTAAATGAAACTTTAACTGATTTCAGGTTAGCTGAATGCTTCAGGTTGTAAAATATGTCCCCAGAGCTGCAGGCTGAAATGTTACTGGCCAACTTTTTTCATTTCTCTTTCTTAAACAAAAAGGTACTAGATATACTACAATTCAAATGAAATGATCAAGTACATGCTATTCTAAGTTGTCTCCTAAACCTCCTGGATATGAGGTCTGATCAGCGTGCTCTGTGGTTAGAGGTTAAAAAGCAGATTATAAAATACCTAGATTCAGATTTTTTTTGTCCTGATTTGGCCTAAAATGGAGTGTATTAAACAAATTCTGGTCTGCAAAAGACCAGAATCAGTTAAAGCTATGAAACAATGTGCACTACGTGTCAATATTCTATTTCACTTACAAGAAAACACTAAGTCAGCTACCACAAATTAAGATATTTTCCTGATGTGACTTTTTTTGTTTTGTTAAAAAATATGTGGAGTAAATGTGTTTTTTTTTAATTCAAAGTTTCAAACAACACGATTCTTTTCTTTTCTTGAAAATATTTAGGAATCCAAACTAGTGTGTTTAGAGTCGGTTGACTGTGCAATCTCTTAGTGGCAACTGAACAGCTACAAAAAACTTTTTATTTTTCCTTTTTGAAAAATCTCCCCTTTTTTCCTGGTTTAAGAAGATAATAGTGTATTATCGCTCTGTAGCCATTAGATGGCAGATAAAAAGCCCCCTTTAAATATGTGGGTTTGATTTTTTTTTTATGTTTTTGTTTTTTTAAAGCCCACACCAAAGAGGAGGGCACAAGGCAAAGCTGTATGAGTTATTCCAGAAATTGTGGAAATCACTTAGGGCATTAATAAAAACACTTCAGGGTACAAAAAAGCTTGACCACACATTTCAGTTTTCTTCCTTGAAAACACAAACATAAATTGGGCTTAACGCTCCTTTTGTTTTCTATATGCACCTTGGCCTATGGCGTTTTTGCCCTGTGGCCTGCAGGGCGGTAAGTGCGCAACACAATAAAACCAGTAGAGGTCCAGTTTAACTTTCCCAGCTCTCTAGAGTTGGGTGAGTTTAATCTCAAAACTCCCATTCGACGGGCTCTTCTCGACTAGCGGCCTTCTCTAAACGGTGTATTATGTTGTTCAAGTTTGCTGCTTTCTTTTTCCTCAAGGTGTTGTCCCGCGTGTTCTTGGAGCTTGCTGCCTCGGAAAAGCTGAATAAACTCTGAATAGAGTTGGCTTTCTGTGAGCCTGCAGCCAATGTGGAACTTGTACTTGGCACACTCAACATTTTCTCTGAACTTTCTTTTGACTTGAAGGAGCTCTCCCCTGTAAGGACTGAGGTGGAGGCAGCTGAGGTAGAGGCATCCTCTTCTGTAGCAGAGTTTGGCATTGTCTCCAGAGTTTCTCCTGAACTTTGAGACCCTGGTGGAGAACTCTGACGTGGTGCTTTGAGCCTACCCTCATCATCAGTATCCTCCAAACTCTCCATTCCCAAATGGAATGACTCTGTTTTCTCTGACGATCTGACATCTTGTGGTACCTCTTCCCCCGCTTCAAAAGCTGACTCTGCTTGCCCTCCCTGAGACTTTGTGGTTGCATTGCTGTACTCGTCCGCCTCCAGACCACTTTGCTTTCCTTCAGGTGGGCCTTCTGTGTCCACACCATCACAACTGTCTCCCTCAGAGCTGTGAACTGCCCTGCTGCTTCTGGCTGAAGGAGAGTCACTTGACCCAGCCTGGCTCTGGCTTCCTGCTTGGATTTCTTCAATGAACAGCTCTCGACGGATGCGAGATCTAGAAGACATGATAACAGAATGATAAGTTTGGTGCTGGCCATTCATAATAATGTATGCTTTCTCGAGGAACTGACAAAGAAAATGAAAACACATTCACAACAAGCTTTTTCCTTGGCCTGTGGACAGAAGTGCCAAATCTGAATCCTTAGAAGTGTTTACATATTCAAAGGATGAGCTGAAGAAACATGAAAGAATGTTAAATGCAGTCAAGGCTCTTCTTTAATACTTTACTGTGATATACCTGTCATATACCTGCTTTTAAACAGCACTTTGTATTAGGCCCAATTTACAAAGTCCATATCCCTATAGAAACTCTCTCAAAGTCCAGCAGGAAGAGAAAGGGGATGTCTGGGTTTTGATTTGCACCCCATTTTTACTTTGGATAATACTCAATATGCCAAAATTTGAGAGATTTAAAGAGAAGTCGGTCCAATAAAAGATATTACCTCACTCACTTTGTCTTGCTAATATCCTGGAACCAACACGGCTACAACACTGCATATATAATTGTTGTAAATCTGATTCCTTCTGACTGTTCAGTTCAATAATTACCTCACACTCTATGCAAACAGGGTAAATTTAATTTTCGTGCAGATAACAAAATTGTTCTAGAATGACAGAGTGTTAAATCATAAATAGATCTTCTAGTTTAGTTAAAACAATACTTGTTGCTTTAGGAGAACTTCAATCCAAGTTACATACATACTGACATTTACAATTTTTGCAGGATTGTACATGGATTATAAAGGGGATCAAAAGACGAGGTCCTAAAGATCTCCCATTCTCACTGGAATCTCACTGCTGAGAGCATGAAGTTTCAGAGGGTGCCTGAAGAACCTAAAGATTCCTCTCTGCTCTGAGGGCACAGGAATTCAGAAGGGATTTTTTTTTTTTTATATAATTAGAGGGGAAACAATTTATCAACACCAATAACATTCTGATTTCTACTCCTAAAAATTAGCCAAGACTTGCCTAAAATTAAACAAAAAACAGAAAAAAGTATTACTACAAACAGGAAACCCTGATCAAAAATAAGAATATAATTCTGAATCAACTTTAGGACAGAGCAGCTTTCTGACTGGTTTTCAGTCTATGAGCCCAGTGTGACTTCCACCTTATTTTTTATTTATAAATTTCATTTCAGAACATTAATAGCCACATGACAAGCAGTGCACTCCTAGGGAATTAATGCACTCCACATATGGGTAAAAGTCACCTAATGTTCAACTTTGTGCTTCCTACAACATGAAGTGTGTAAAAATCACCCAGCAATATACATGTCATTTTATTTGAGCTTCCCATAAGGAGTTTCCCAATGTCCTGGATCTCACAGGGAAATGAAATGATGTGTGGCCTGGGGTTTTACTTAGCCTTGATAACTAAATCAATTATATAATCGTAATTCGACTGTGATTAATATAATTGTTTATGACCTCAGTGCATTCTACTGCAAGATATGCCCCGTGTTCCTAGATAACAAGAAGGAAGAATCTCAGCACAGGAATAGTGTAGACACAGTAACAATTTAGAGAAAACTTTGTCAAAAACAAAAATACCACTGGTTTTAATGAAGAAGCGCTGCCTTGTCTTTCAAGTCACAGATGAAAAACCCTCTTCATGTTTGCGGCAAGTTTTCAATAGAACCTTAAACTTCTTGCAGGAACTAATGTACACTGGGAAGAACACAGACTAGCAACAGAACACTGCTGGAATGTCTGCTTTGTGTTTGAAGCTAATGACATTATTGACTTGCTTCAGAGACAGTAGAGTACTTTGGCAGTAATTGCTGACATGGGGTTTTTCAGGGATTACGGGTCTATAAATTCCCCTCAGAGAATAATATTCACCAGACCGGGGACCATAGGTAGTAATATTAATTTGCTATTAACATTACTTCCATGCATTTTGTGTTTATTACTAGGCTTTATTTACTTCTTATAAATCTCCCTTTACAGGCAGTGATCCAAAGCACACTGCTCCTGGGGTGCTCACTGAGTCAGGAGAAGGAAACGGATAACTTCGTGTCTGCCCACCTAAGAAATATGTCATTTAAAATACCACAGTTCCACTTAAGAAAGTGAATCACAGAAGGCTCATTGAACATTTGGCCACAGTTCTATTTAGTATGGGCTTGTTTGATGGATGTACAAATCCCTGGAATTGATCCCCAACACACTAGGTCTGGAAGTCAATCAAGCACTACATTAACTAGGAGACAAAGTCTGTACAATAAACAGGAACTGGTGGCAGCAGCTAGGAAATTCTGGACAGAAAGTGCCTAATCAGTGGAAGATGAAGACCACTACATTAACCACACCCTGAAGACATTCTTCAGTGTTATTCAAAATATGAGGCTATCCTGGGGATTGTGTTGGAGTTCACTATACATGTTTTTGCACAATTTCCAGTATCATATATAGACATTTAATACAGTGATGTTTCCTGCAACTTTTATAAATTAAGTTGAATGGAGTTTAATAATTTAATAGCACTGGACTGATATTCAAGAGAACCGGGTTTAATTCTTACCTCTACCACAAGCTCGCTAGGTGACCTTGAACAAGTCACTTAATCTCTGTGCCTCAATTTCCCATGTGTAAAATGGGGTTAATACTACTTCCTTTCTTCCACCCTTTGTCTGTCCCACTATTTAGAATGTAAGTCATTTGAGGCAGGGACCATCTCTTAACATGTATTTGTTACAGCATCTAACACATTGGGGTCCCAATTTCAAAAGGGGCCTCTGGGAGCTTCTGTAATGCAAATAAATACATAAGAATAATACACATCTGAGTGTATGTGCCGAGTCTTGAGCTCTGGAAACAAACGGAAAGGTGTAGATGTGTTTGTGGATACAATGAAATCTTTTCTGAATATTTATATTTCAAAGTGAAATTCTCTCTCAGGTATTTCCACAGTGCCTCTTGGTGTGACATACACGTGCCAACACACATTCTTTACACAAAGATGGATGTGAGGGCATATTCTAATGCAACAACAGTTTGTGGAATGTGTGGCATAAGCCATATACCCGAAGGATAAGCACTGCAGTAACACGATTCCTGAGACCCCGAATCCATGACAGCAAGACATTATGAAAAAGGTATCAAATTCAAGAGGAACAGTACACGACGGCTTGTAATGGGTCAGACAGCAGTTGTATGGGAGATATAAAACCCACAATGCAAGCGAAATTTGAAAATGGGCTCTTGATACCTTTAAAATACGACAAACACCACATTCTTGTCTTTCAAGATTCCTTATAGTTAGAAAGGGAACCCTCTTCAATTCCATGAATTCATTTCTTGTACCATCTTGTATATATTAATAAATAATACAAATAATAAAGATATCTAACATTCACAGATCACCTTTCTGCTGAGGCTCTAAAAACACTTCACAGACATTACCTCAGTTCACAAAACCCTTGTTAATATTCTTGTTTTTCAGATGGTGAAACTAAGGCATAGAGTAGTAGATCATGGCTTGATTTTCAGAGGTGCTGAGCACTCAAAAAATCCCACTGACTTCAATCAGGCCATAAACGACTTGCTCACAGTCACACAACAAATCAGTAGTGCTGACTAGAATCCGAACTCCTGATTCCATGCCCTGTGTTCCAACCATTAGACTATGTTGCTGCCTCACTTGTACATATTTTATTTTGTCTGTAACTGCAGGACTATTCTGAATTAATGTATAGCGTGGTGTGGCTAAATGTGCTGATCGATCATGACTTGTCGTGCTTTCTCACAATGTGCCTAACAGAAGACCTCATGATAATGAGGAAGATAACACATGTCACCAGTGTACTTTCATTCATCTGTATAAGTGAGAACAGCACATTTTGCTGTCAGGCTGAAGGGAACATATTTACATAGGCATTACTCCAGCTTGTGTATAATTGCTATAAGTGAGAAAGGGAATAGATGTCTGTATTTGGAGAACTTTAAACTAAGATGCGGTATTTGCAGTGCACACAAATCAAATTTGACTACATTAAGTACAAGTCAATGTGACAGAGTAGAAATGTTCCCACCTACTGGTGACTATATTTGTTATTTTCCTTTGCCTACTACTGTATGTTCTATTTCTTAGCTCTGTTATTAACAAGGAGTCTTTTTTGTGTTCACAATGGCCTCGGAAGTGGCAGAGAGGAGCTCAGAGGGAGAAATCTTTTAAAATGCGAATTGTTTGTTAAGGTTTTTCAAAATGTCCTATGATAATCAGGGACTGTTGATTCAGAAAGCAAGGGATTCAGGCTTGTATGTTTTCTTCTACCTCTCAAATTATAACTGTTATACTGATCAGTGCCAATTTCTGGGACAAAAATGTGTTAAGATGGTGAGGATTCCTGATCAATTCCTTTCAGACAAAAACTGAGTGTGTTTATCCAACTCCTTCTACTTCTCAGTGGTCAAGCTGTTCAAGCACTGAGTCTTCAGTGGTCAGAAACTACTCAATGCACCAATTTGTGGTTCTTTTTAAAGGGAACAAAGGATTAAACTGAGACTCTAATCTCATTTCATTTCAGGATGACTCTTGGCATCAAGGATTTATCATAATAGTGTAATAAATTTGCAGCCAATTCAGACATCATGGTTGTCACTAGGCTGCACACCATGGCCATTTGGAACTTCATGGAAACATAACACATTGTCCTGGTCCCAAATCACAGGTCTCTATACCTTGAGCTAAAGGAAAATCTCCTTTAATTTTCAGCACTGTAGGCTAACCTATGACAAAATAATAGTTCTGATTCCATCCAATAGAGGGCAGTAGTGTACACACTATCTGGTAGACTACTATATGAATTATAAATATCCATAACAGTGAACCCTTTTAGTTTAAAGTCCCACTCTGACATATCAAATCAAAATGCAGGGTTTCACACAGACAAGAACTATTTAAGTCAATATGTGGGGAGGGATAGCTTAGTGGTTTGAGCATTGGCCTGCTAAACCCAAGGTTGTGAGTTCAATCCTTGAGGGGGCCATTTAGGGATCTGGGACAAAAATCTGTCTGGGGATTGGTCCTGCTTTGAGTAGGGGTTGGACTAGATGACCTCCTGAGGTCCCTTCCAACCCTGGTATTCTATGATTCTATTTTTATTCCCCAGGAATTATTTTAAAACTGGCATATACTGTTTGCACTATCATTATTACTATACACTCCTTGCTAATGAGACAGTCCCTTCTGTATCACTGCCCAGCACTAGTTAAGACCAGATCGAAATAAACAGCCTTTTAGGGCTAGAGTATATATTGTGCTCACTGGAGATGCTGTGTGGGACATGTACTGTACCTGTAATTGTGGAACCAGTTGATCACTGTGCTGGTTTTCAAGTTGAGTTGTGTAGCGAGTTCCTCAATGGTTTTTGGCGATGGGTATGGCTTTTGCTGATATGCTCGTTTTAGAGCTTCTTTCTCTTCTGGTGCCAACACTACTCGTGGTTTCTTTAGCTGATGCTGTGGCTGTGGGCTGGCTCCCTGGCTATAGTCTATTCCAACTGAAGAGGGCTCACAAGGTTGACTATCACTAACTGAGCTGTGCCGTCGTTTCATGTAGGCTGAAAGAGAAATACAGAAACGTGTAAACAAAGTCACCAAATACAAAAACTGCAGAGTAAATGCAAAGATCCCAAATTGTGAGCTTGGGAGGTTGGGGGGAGAGGGGTGCATGCTGGGAAGGACAGAGCAGGAAGGAGCAGGAAATGAATTCTGGTGTGGATCCGAAAAGAGACCGCAAGAGAAGGCAGAGGTGGCAGGGAAGAGAGCACAAACTGACCATAAACCTTTCTAAGTTTTCCACCTCATTGGTGAATATGTAAGATAAATAATGTGGTGCATAGTTCTAATGTTACTCAACAAAAGTCTGAGTATTTTAGGAGTATGACATTTTCACATATACATTCCGTTAGGACAGTTATGCTGCATTGCAACTGAAATACTCTGTGTTTCTTGGTATTTAAAGCTTCCTACTGGATTAAATTTAAACTACAGTAGTTGATAAAAGCTGAAATCACAACCATGTTCCAACACAAGATGGCGCTTGGAACCTATGGAATCCTGAAATTTTGCCTCAGCCCTAAGGAACAGTTCAGAGGTTTGCTGCTTATTCCTACAGATCTTGTCTTAGATGCATACACTGGAGACAAATTATAAAAAAGAAAAACAACCGACATCCCCTTCCTTTAAGCAAGATTGTTTTACAATACGATTTGATGGGTACTGCTGCTGTGTGCAGGTAGCTCAGTTAGGTCAGTGATGGGAATCTGAGCAATTCCATTAGGCGCCTTCATCCTCACGGGGAGAGGGGTGGTGGTGAACCATCCTGTTAAGTTCATTGAGGAAAGAAATTTGGCTAATGATGTCATTGCCTTGATTGACTTGCACTGGGTGGAGGGAGATGGGATCAGAGTCATGCAAGAGCATTGTCGAGGAGGCCTTTCCCTTGCAGTGAGAAAAAAGCACTTCCAGATGAACTTGATCAATACAGTGTTGCAGTGGCCTGATAAATACCTTTTAAATATATATATATATCCATCTTTCGGAGCATAGACTCATGCCATAGAGATTTGGAAGGTTGTGAAGTGGGTCACCTGAGCCAGCAACAAAGTCTGGAATAGGATGCATAGATGATATATAAAAAAAAGACAGGCCAGCTTGAGCTACAACTCAAGTTTTCTGGGTATAGAGCTCACCCTCCTTATAGTGCCAGGGAGCTGCTTTAATAGAGTACCCTTTTCCTCTGCAGGACTGCCTGGGCCTTTAGTGTCCAGCTCTGCTTTGTCATTTCGCCCTCTACACTGGTGGTGGATCTACTGGGACTGTTACACAGTCACAGGAGTATCAAAGTGAATGTTGAACATACTGTTTAACCTTCCTGGGTACCTGAATGGCCAATATTTTATTTTTCCCCAAATATGACGTCTTGCCTGTTGGATTGCCTACTTTGCAAGATCGCTGGTATGGAACAGAGTGTAAGAAGCTCACGATCCATCACTCTGCTGTGTCATATATAGTCCTGCACCCATTTAAGAAAGTTATATGCAGTGTAGTTGTAGCCATGTCAGTCCTAGGATAGTAGAGAGACAAGATGGGTGAGGGAATATCTTTTACTGGACCAACTTCTGTTGGTGAGAGAGACGTTTTCGAGCCACACAAAGCTCTTCTTCAGGACTTGAGACTGGCTCAGAAGCTCGTCTCGCTCACCAACAGAAGTCGATCCAATAAAAGATATTACCTCACCCACATTGTTTATATAAGAAAGTTATTTTTAAAGGTTATTCCAATCAACCAAAGCTATACAGGATGTTTCAACCTGTGGGGAAAATGGGAAGCAGTTAGTGGTAAACAACATATGGGGCTCTACCTCTGCAGACCCTGAGGTGCAGCTAAATGCTACAACTTGTAATGCTGGCAATTAATATGAAGAAAATGATATTATCTTACATTTACATAAGAACGGCTGTACCGGGTCAGACCAAAGGTCCATCTAGCCCAGTATCCTGTCTACCAACAGTGGCCAGTGCCCAG